AAGAACTATTTATTACTCGAAATAACTATCTATATCTCTTTAGTTACTTTAATAGTTCTTTTATTCATACTCTCAAATGATGAAAACAAAAGTTACACTTAACTCTCTAAAAAGAACAACATCATAGTATGTTGCCATTCTCTGAAACATAAACTGTTACAAAACATAGATAATAATAATATGAATAGATAATGAATAAAAAAACCTATAGAGTAAAGAAAACGATTACATCTGCTTGAAGCTCGTGCAATATTACTCAGAAGCTGCAGTTACAAAAAAATATAAACAAAAATATTAGAGTCAAAATATTGTTCATCCTCCCACCTTGCAATATGAAATTCGGGATTGAGTATTGCAAAATAATAAAAAATTAAACATTGTTCTCACAAGTCCAATCGATGAGGAACTCTAATTGTCCTTTCTGATTTGGTTATCGTGGGCGATTTTAAATGGGTATGAATTATTCTATTTGTTTCTACAGGTACATCATCAATTGGAGTTTGCTCTACCGAAATATTTTCGCATGGTTGACTTCCGCTGAATTTCGATGGAAGTTCCTCGGCAGTCGATAATTCCAAAGGATAAAGATTTTGTACAGCTCTTATGACTTCTCCATTTTGCACTTCGTATAAGAGGATGATCACTTGGCAAAATAGCAGGAGTTCTGAACTCAGATGTATCTTCTCTTTGAAATATTGCTGTTTTAGTTCTGATGATCCCACAATCAATGAATGGATTAAGACTTAAAATCCGTTTATCTTCTATTCCATTAAAGGACTCATTTTGTATTAAACGAATCAAGATATTCTCTGCTTCATTTAACTCAGATACAGTAAGTTCATCCTTTTTCTTGTTTTGATGTTTACAGTTGTAAACAAAACGACACATCCACGCTACCAGTCTGATTGTCTTACGATAACTTGAGAATCTAGTAGCAACTATTTCACTAGCATTAAGATTTATTAAGGACGAAATAATCCTTTTCTTTTTCTCAAGAGCTATTTCTTCTTCATCAGCACTAAAATCTTCTTTTGGCCATTTTTCAGGTGATAAATATAGCCATTTAGGTCCTTCCCACCATCTGGATTTAATTAAATAAGAAGCAGAGCATCCTCTACTGGGCAAATCAGCAGGATTCAGTGATCCTGGTACGTGCCTCCAGGATTCAATAGAAGTCAGTTGCTTTATTTCCTTAATTCTGTTGTGAACAAATACGTCCCATACTTCATTTCTCTGTATCCAAGCTAGCACAGTAGACGAATCTGTCCAAAAATAAATATCATCAGCTTGAAATTCAGGTATTATGCTGGATGCTAAACGTGCACATATTGTAGCTCCAAGAAGTTCCAATCGAGCTATTGTTGTCTTTTTCCTTCCGCTGGGTGCAACTCTCGCTTTAGCTTGCACCAAATGAACTTGAACCGAATCTCTTGTTTGTACTCGAACAAAGGCCACAGCTGAATATGCAAGTTTACTCGCATCACTGAAGAAATGAAGTGAGATATTTTCAATCTCACGATCACAGTTTAACCATCTTGGTATTCTCATTCTTTCCAGACACTGCAAATCATTCAACCATTTACAAAATTGTGATTTTGAATTTGAATCAACTTCTTGGTCCCAAGATAACTTAACTTCCCATAGGTGCTGAAGTAAAAGTTTCGGCACAAGAGTTACGGGGCAAGCTATTCCTAAAGGGTCGAATATTTTGTGTGTAGTAGCTAAAATCTCTCTTTTAGACAAAATTTCTGGTAGACTGTAGGTGATGTTAGTAATATTAAGGCAAAGGTAATCTCCACATCGTTCCCAAATCATTCCTAATACATTTGTGGTACTAGAGGAATTATCTGTTGGGTCACTATATTCCCAACCACGTAATTCTAGCTTTCTTGTAGCTAAAGTATCTGAAGCAACTTGTATGAATTGTTGCAATTCTAAATCATTTTTCACACTCGCTAAACAATTATCTACATAAAAGCTCTTCTTCAATTGCTCAATAATATCCACTTTATACTTTGGGTTTCCATTTAGTTGTTTCAAAGTGGATTCTAGAAGATGGTGAATTACAGAAACTAGCAAGAAAGGGCTGCTTGTAACTCCAAATACTACCCTACAATGCCTGTAATACTTCAGTTTTCCATCAGTTCTATACCATAAGAATCTTAGATAGTCTTTATCCTTAGGGTTGAGACTTATTTGTAAGAATGCTTTTCGTATATCTGCAGAAACTCCTATTCTGTTCATTCGGAATCTATGAAGAATTGAAGGAATCAGTTCGATAAGGTTCTGACCTTTTTCTAGACAATCATTGAGACTAGGGGATCCTTTTTGTTTGGCCGAGGCATCAAACACTGGCCTGATTCGTGTAGTACTGTTTTCTTTTACTACGTGTCGATGTGGTAGATAATGGCATGTTACATCAATTTCGCTTTTTGGTACTTCTTCTATGATGCCTTCTTGTTCCCATTCACTAAAAACTTCTCCATAAGCATCATAAAGTTTCTCAGCTTTTAGTCGTTTTACTGTAGAAGCTAATCTCTTTACAGCTAAGTAAGTCATAGTTATCTTTTAACGGTAGATGGTTATCAAGCCATGGCAAGCTGACTTGAAAACGCCCCTCTTCGTTCACCTTTACAGTAGACAAGAAATGATCTCTTGCTTCTTCTTGAAGTTCCAGTTTACTTTTCTTCTCTGATGGATCTAGAATTCCAAGTGAATCTAGAGACCATAGATCGGATATCAATATTTCCTTATTCAACATGGATGTGACGAGCAGTGCGGAATTGAATTGTCCGAGATCTCACGCATACCATTTTTCCCGAAAAGAGTCCAACCAAGTTTTGTTTCTATAGCAAGCAGCAAGGCCTGAAGTAAGCAATTTAAATCCTCCGGTCATCAGCTTGCCTGCAATGTCAGCGCCAATAAGTATTTCTATTGGTCCATTACTATCGCTGCATACAGAAATATTGTTCTCTTTAAGCTCTCGAATCCACTCGCCATTAGCAACTTGTGGTATACTTCCACAAATAATATCTTGGCTAAGAGCTTTGAAGTTATAATGATAAGTTCCATCCGTTTTAGACAAGAACACTGTAAAAACATCGTGGTTTATGACATCAGTACATGACCCGCCAAATAATGAATGGCTCAATCTTTCTTTAGATGTACTCTCAAATTTCATTTCATCTGCAGTGCTTTTTAAAATATAAGATCTCTGTGAAGCTGAATCGATAATAGCACGGGCCTGGCGCTTTCTATCTCGCCCTTTCAATGTAACCGTTAAAGTTTGCAAAAACACATTTGTTGTTCTCGCCAAATTGGCGAGGGTTTCATCTCGTTCAGGTACTGCATCCGTATTTTCATCCTTATTCGTGCTAACAGGAACTGGAGATTTTGATTCAGCTTGGATATTTCTACATAAAAGTATGTGGTGTTTCTTCCCACAAATCACACACGATGTTCGTTTTTTACATTTAGCTATTACATGTTTTCTGTCTAAACATAAAAAGCACTGTACTGCATATTACGGAAACGCTAACTTTGTAATTATTAGATGGGGTCCAAGGGTTCCCCTGAATATTAATAAAACCCTCAAAAATTTCATTTCTGAAGGGTAGTAAAAATTTTCGTATGTTCTTTTAAGTGTTATTAATATTGTATTTCTTTTTGGCTCAATCCTAGGAGATTGGAAAAGCTAACGTTGTACAATTCTCTGATGTTTTTTTTTAATGAAAATAGATCGATATGTACATGGGAAAAGCGAATGTGGTGCGGAATGCCGAGTGTGTGCAATTTTGGGATGTTTTTTTAAGTGAAAATAGATCGATGTGCACATGGGCAAAGCCAATGTGGTGCGCGATGCGGAGTTTGTGCAATTCTGGGATGTTTTATGTGATAATACTTTCTCTTTAATTCTATAAACAGACATAATTTCTTGTTCAGTTACAAAGTTCCGCTGTTCAAGTCCCGTAATTGCTGTCCCGAGAATACCAACTAACGTGTCAATCGAAATTTTTTCGTTTTCACTAACCTCTCTGTCACCTTCTTTATGTCTTTATCCATTTTTTGCAGCAATTCCACTTTTTGTTTGATGGACATCGAAACATACTTTCGTTTTGTAGATCCTTTGGGAGCTGCAGCATCGGAAGTTCTATTTGACATAATCGAAAGTTCAAGTTTACTTTTATAAAACTGCTCTTACAGTCTGCAAAAAATAATAAGCCGCATCCAATTCGAAGATTAAGGAACAACGCAATTATCAACATTAACTGAAATAGATAATTGGATAATTTTAGCTTATACTGTCCGTTATACATTAAACGTGCACACGAAAACGTATTCTGCGCTTGCGCAGACGCATATGCGCAGTGGTAAATGTCTTGCGCGCACGAGTAAAACGCCTATGCGCATGCTTCAATGCGGCGCATGCGCAGAAAGATTTTAGCCTTGAGGTCCGGATTATGGGTGTCCGAATTAACGACTTTTGACTGTATACTTATTTCTACATCTGTAGAGAATACATTGTGACGTCACAATTTTAGTCCCATCTTTATGAACGTCACATAGCTCCGCCTTCGCAACTTTGTTTATACAACGTTTACTGGCAATTTTTAAGAAATTGCCGCTACTGAAAATCGCCAAGTAGTGGGCTAAAGCACATTTTCACCCCTTTTTCTGTTTAAATTTCACCGTTTCCATTGCAGACTGTCGATTTATACTAACAAGACATTAAAAAAACAGAAGCAAAATTTTTTTGACCTTGTTTAAATGTAATTATGTTAATTTAACATGAAAGAATGATATGAAGTATTTAGAAATTTTTATAGACTTGATTTAAAATTTTATTTCTCATAAAAAAATTAGCTCTATGGCATTTTGTATATTGCTGTCATTGAACATATGAAAAAGTGAAAATAATTTTTTTTTTAAGTATAGGGTGGTGGAAAGTGTTTTATCAACAGTATTGATAGGGGTATTTTATGTTTTAGCTATTGTTCATATTCTTTTTCCTTTAAGTTAATTTAATAATAAATTTCAAAATTATATGTAGAAGCTCATTAATTTACCTTTTGTAAGTGAAGACTGTCATAACACCCTTTTCTTCCCTACCCCTTGTTGATTTTATTACTGTTTGAATTGATTTTTTCAGTTTTAAGTGCTTAAAAATTTCAGCAGAATATTTGAATTTGATATATAAAAAATTCCAAAAAAAAAAAAAAAAAATCTGTAGATGTATGTTATATATGTAACTGTATCTATTATTATCTTTAACCATAACTGTAATATAGTATAGTAGATGAGTGATGTACATCTTGTAATCATCACTGAGCACCTACCCAACACATATAAAATACAACACCGGGCTTCCTTGATTAAAAAAAAAATCTTTTTTGAAGAAGGATGCAGCCTCGGTAAAGATGTTCTAAACAAAAACATCATGGGAAGTTGTTTACTGTGAAATCGAAACTTATATAGCTGGTAAGTGAGTTGTTTATTTTTATTGGAAGTGGCTAAAAATACGTATATATAAACTATTTAAAGTCCTAAATTAAATATGGGTGGATTAAAGCCACCAAGTAATCTAAGTTTCGAAGGAAATTTAAGCGAAAATTGGAAGAAATAGAAACAAAAATTCCAAATTTATATGTTAGCGTCTGGTGGTATTACTAAATCACCTGAAATTAAAGTAGCTATTTTATTGCATATTATTGGTGAAGAAGCACTTGAAAATTAATACTTTTAATTTAAGTGAAGAAGATAAGAAGGATGTTGACAAAGTAATTGAAGCTTTTGAAAATTTTTGCATACCGAAAGCAAACGAAAGTGTTTGATAGACATATATTTTTCTGTTTCGGTCGAACAAAACATGTAGTGAATCGTTTGATGATTCTCTAACCAATTTAAAGAAATTAAGCAGCAACTGTGGATTTGCAGAATTAAAAGATAGTTTAATAAGGGATAGAATAGTAAGTGGAATTCTAAATAAAAATCTCAAAGATAGATTATTAAGGGAAGATCAGTTAACATTGGAGAAATGTATTAAAATTGTAAAGCTTCTGAATTAGCAGAACTTCAGCTGAAAACTTTAACTGAAGAAAATAAAATAGAAGCTATCAAACGTAATAAATTTCGACCTTCAGAGGAAAAAGTCAGCCTTGTAAGAAAGACTTTCATGTAAAACAAAAGCAACAAAGTACTAAATCTTCTTCAAACTATCAAGGAAATAAGTACAATAATCCAAAATCATGTAGAAAATGTGGAACTTTTCATAAGTTATACAACTGACCTGCTTGTAATAAGATTTGCTTGTACTGTAAAAAGAAAAATCACTTTTCTAAAATGTGCACTTTTAAAAAGGTTAATGTTGTACAGAATAATTTAGAGCATGAGTTACATAATAATGGTAATGAATATATTTTAGGGTCAGTAGAAGATACAAATCCATTTTCTAAAAATAAAACCGAATGGTTTGAAAAACTAAAAGTAAACATATCTAAATATTTATTTGTTAAGTTGGATACTGGAGCTCAGTGTAATGTGCTACCATTGCCCTAAATTTAAACAATTAAATTTAAGAGAGAAATGTTTGACTAAATCAAAAGTCACTTTAAATAATTACAATGGTACTACAATTGATGTAGTTTGGAAAAATGTAAATTATTATGTGAAACATCGAAAGGGGACAAGGATGAAATAAATTTCAAGTCGTAGCATGTGATAAAACTGTTCCAGCTATTTTAGGTTTACCTACATTGCAAAAATTAAACCTAATACAAAGGATTTGTACAGTAAATCCTGATTCCAATGAAAAGTTACCAGAACTTTTAAAAGGATATCAAGATTTGTTTAAAGGAACTGGGAATTTAACTGGATATACATATCATCTTAAATTAAAACCAGAAGCTGTTTGTAAAATAGAACCCTTTAGGAAAATTCCACATAGCTTATTAAATCCATTAAAAAAGGAATTAGCAAGAATGGAAAAAGATAGTATTATAAAGAAAGTTAACCAACCAACAGAATTTGTGAATTCATTAGTGGTAGTAAGGAAAAAGGATGGAAATTTAAGAGTGTGTTTAGATCCTCAGCACCTTAACCAAAATATACTGAGAGAACATTATCACATACCAACCTTTGAAGAAATTTCATCTCAAATGACAAATACAAAGGTCTTTAGTATTTTTAGATGCAAACAAAGCATTTTGGCAAATTAAACTGGCAGATTCAAGTTGTCAATTTACTACATTTAACACTCCGTTTGGTAGATATTGTTTTTTTGAGGTTTGCCATATGGACTGAGTTCATCACCAGAAGTTTTCCACAGAAGTTTTTCTGAAATTTTTAGTGATTTAGAAGGATTCAAATATATATAGATGACTTATTAGTTGGGGTAAAGAAAAAAGAACATGATTCAAGATTAAAGAAGTTGTTGGACAGAGCCAGAGAAAAGAATGTTAAATTTAATTTAAATAAATGTAAATTTGGGCTGAATGAAGTGAAATATATGGGACATATATTTTCTAAAGATGGTTTAAAACCAGATGAAGACAAAATTAAGG